CCAGTCATTGAGTTCCTGTTAAAAATAGTCCTTGTTCCCCTCACTATGGGAAGCCGATTGGTTACTGAGGCTACATCTGAGCAGAGGTTCTAGGGTATATCCATACATGGTCCTTGGTTGCATGTCAGTCTCAGAAAAGACCCTGTGCAAGGCAGACTTTTAAAAGTAAAGGGAATGACAGTTAGAGTATATATCAGAATATAGAGCACTTAACCAGCATGGTCAAGGTACAGCATTTTATCTTTGCAATATGAAAGAATGAGCAAGGAGGAGAAGAATCACATGTGCAGAAGTGTGCTCAAGCTCTGAGCCCAGTGCCCATGCATGGGACAGTTATGGACTAAGAGGTGCTGGTGTAAGAGCCAACGTTTAAGAGCAAACATGAACTCAGTGGCTGGCTCTTTGACCTCCCCACCCTGAGGGAGGAGCAGCTTTGCTAGGCCACAGAGGAAGACATTGCAGCCACTCCTGATGAGACCTGATAAGCTAGGGTCAGATGGAAAGGGAGAAGGACCTCCCCTATCAGTGGACTTGGAGAGGAGCAAGGGAGGAGATGAGTGAGGGAAGGTAGGATTGGGAAGGAATGATGGAGGGGGCTACAGCTGGGATACAACGCAAATAAAATGTAATTAATGTAAAAAATAAAAATGTAATCACACCCTCCCAAAAAGAGCAAATGTTTATCAGTTATCTTGAGTTAGTTGCTGAGGGACTGTTATTGACTTAATTTTAGAACTGTGTCAGTTGATAGTGTGAAAATGGAAAAAAGAGTAGAATTATTAGTAATAGTCAAAGAACTGTAAGCGGTCAACAGCCTATCAATAAATAAAAGGCCTTATACCTAAAGTAGGATGAACCTAAATCATTATGAGCCCTGAGTGCAAGGGCAAGTATTGGAGAGCACATGATAGTTTTCAGAATGAGAATGAGAATTGTACAAATTTCCATTTGTGGGGAATCCTATTTGGAGGAATAAAAATGGAGACAGAAGACTGTGGTGTGCTGGTATTGGGAAATCACATAATTCCTAATATTTCTGAAACTCACACCAGCACATCCCCATTTCCTTATTGCTGGCAGTGTCACCTGGATTCTTCTTGGATAAAATTTTAAAGTTATTTGTGGTTTTCTTCTTTTGTTCTTAATTTGAGAAATTTTATGACATCTTCAAAGGCTTATATAACAAATAATATATTGTTATATGAATATGTCCAAAATAATGAATATGTAAATAAGTATGTTTTCATTCCTTCCCTAACCCTGGACAATCCAAGTTCAATATTATTATTTGTCATCTGCATTACTATTTGTCATCTGCATCATTATATGTCACTATTTACATATCAGTTGTATTGCATAAATTATATAGGTATATAAAATCATAATTATCTTCCTAGTTTTCTTTTTGTTTGTTGTTTTCAATATTGGGATGTAACCTATGTTCTTGTGAATGATAGATGAGTAAGCACTTTAGTACTGAGCTACATCCCTAGCCCTAGTCTTCTGATTTCCAACTATTAATATGTTAAAATATTTTTTTCACATTAGTTAAAAAATATTACAATGACATTGTTGTAAGTGTAAACTTTCAAGAGTTCCACCATTGATAATAATGCTATAATGTAACTGCATCTTCTATTTTTATTTCAAGGCTTTTCTTGAATTTATTATTTTGGTATTCTTCTGACAAATATTTTAAAGAAAGAAATCGTCTTCTCCTTAATAATATTAAAATAGCTTATGCCAAGATAACAAAAAAGGTCAACTTTGTTTTCCCAAATAGAGCTAGTCTCTGATATGTTCTAAGAGTGAAAAACATTGTTAAGTTGATGTAACTTTGTTTCCAGAGTTTTTGTTTGTTTTTGTTGTTGTTTTAGTTTTGAGACAGAGTTTCTCTATGTAGTCCTGGCTGTCCTAGAACTTTCTCTGTAAACCAGGTTGGCCTCAAACACACAGAGACCCACTTGCCTCTGGGTGCTGGAATTAAAGGCATATGCTACCACCACTTGGCTATTTCATTCCTTTTTTAAAAAGACATGATTTCACTGTGTAGCCTAAGCTCCCCCAAATTCACATTCTCCTGTTCCAGCCTCTCTAATTCTATAGTTATAGATTTGCATCACTACATCTGGTATAAATATGGAGGAACCTCCGGAGGTCACGTTTTTCTTGTTGGTTGTTGCTGTTGTTGCAGTCACATAGAGTGAAGCCATGGCCTTCCGTATGGTAGATAAGCACTCTGCTACTAAGTTATATTACCATCCTCAATCATATGGTTTATTAGACTAAAGCACTTGGGAAAATAACATAGGCTATCTAATAAACATCTTGTGAGCTACTTTTTTTTGCATGGAGGCACATAGAAGCAGTTAAATGTAGGGGTTTAGAAGATAAGTGTAGTCTCAGAAGATATACTGCACCACATTAGTAACTAGTTTTTCTTGGTAAAGTTACCAGTTCATCATCTGAAAATTTATGCTTTCTTTCATGGTAGAATTGTAAGGGTTATTTGTTATTCAGTTTTAGCAGTTGCAGAATATTCCGAGAATGCTGCTCTTGAAATATCAACAGAAAGTTGATAGACAGGATGTTATGACAAACACTTATTATATCAGCATTGAGAAGACTGAAGAGCTTAGCTCAGTTCTTTAAGGCTATTAACCACACAGGGAAGAATCTACAGTTGAAGAGTGTAAACCCAGAGCTCTATTTACATAAAGAAGTATGAATAAAGTAAATCGAATTTATCCCTCTTAATCTGACTAGTGTTCATTGTGTGTTCAACAAAAAAGATGAGAATAAATAAGTCAGTTTATCTTTTTTTTTTTCTTCGTTAAAGGGCATTGGTGGTAAAGGATTCTAAAAGCAGAGCTATCATTTAGTTGAAGAGGGTTTTCATATGTTGACACAGTTAGGTGAATTAATTGAACCCCTGTTCAGTCCTCAGTGCAAATGCTCAGAAATGCAATTTAGCTAGCACACAATGAACACATGGATGAGATCTGGTTCCAAATGAAACCAAGTACAGAGGGCTCTTCATATAAGAATAGAACATTCACTCCCAAAGGGAGAACTCTATGGGAATGGTGCTTAATATAAGAAGGATCTAGAACAAAATGAAATTTGAGTATGGGGAATTATCTGTAATATTATAGTGATTTATGATATGAAAATTTGCTAGACAGAGGTGCCATCACTGAACATGAAACATGTGTTTCAGGTAGCAAGTTATTCCTACTTAGAGGCCATGTGCTTTCCTGACAGGAGGGGCACCTATCTCCTGTAGTCGCCTTTATTTATGCCCAGGCTCATCATTTTCTTTTTTCTACCCTGTGTTTCTCCAGGATCTTCAGTAGCATTCTGTCTTACTAAATTATAATCACAGTCCAGTCCCACCTTCTAGAGGAAATATCCTGACTTCCTTGATAAGTTTTGACTACTTATGATTTCGTTGGTCATAATTTATACACCAACCTAGGTACTAATTTATTAGTACAGGCAAAGGGATCTTACCATTAATTAAGTTCCATCAATCCAATTTTGTTTCTGTTAAATTCTTTAAATCCTCTTCTTTCCTGTCTTTTTCATGGTTTACTTCCTTTCCTTTACCCATCTTATATGCATTTATTTATTTGGTGAGTAGGTAGGTGGGTTCCGGCAACGTTGACATGTAGAGGTCACCTCACTGGAGTCAGTTCATTCCTTCCACCATGTAGATCCTGGGGACCAAACTCAGATCATCCAGCTTGGCAGCAAGCATGTACCCACTTGTCAGCCTTCTCTTACTTTGTTCACTCACAGGACAAACTCATAGATTCGGAAAGTGCAAACTTGCATCTGCAGGTCAAAATATGCATAACTATTGGTTTAATTCCACCATTTCCAACCACTTGACTATTTTTGAAATATTACATTCTGTAAAATATGCACGTAGAACATACTAAGTCTGACATTTTAAGCATAAAGTTGCAAGTGAACCTGAACTATAATATGGATGATGTATCCAGTCACTGAGTTTCTAATTTATTTTTTCCTTTTCAGCTTAAAACCAGATGAGACACACAAGGGTAGAAAAACAAATTGTGTACTTTATCTGGGGAAACAGCAGCTGACACTGGTAGAAAATGCCATGTATTGCATTTTCTGTAGGGATTCTCTTGCCCTTGCCCTTGCTGCTTCCTGTTCATTCCTAATCCCCACAGTCTAATGGTCTTTGCAGGTTGGTAAAAGATCTCAAATAAATCCAGTCTAGAGGGACATGGGAAATTTCCTCAAATGGAGCTACTTCTTGGTCTTTAGAAACAGATTCAATTTGGAGTCGTTACAGCAAAGTTCTGGTTGGTGCATACTGAATACAACAAACACATCATAGCTTTGAAAAGTTAAAGTGGCTCTGGAAAAGATCTGATTCTTTTGAATCAACCAACATTTTTCAGTTGGTTTGACCTCATGGATAGGCTGTGCCATAGTAGCCTTTGACCAGATATTTAGTTATGTCTAGAAGCCTGGCAAGAGCCAAGGAAACTACATAGTTTGGAGTTCATAGGTGTGAAGGGAACCTGAGTTCCTACAGTATCTTATGATGGTAGCAATTCCCAAATCTGGCAAACAACTATAAGAATATCATTCTTAAGGGGTTATACATAGAGAATCCAGGTACAAAACTAAGGTAAAGGATATGATCTAGGGCATGATGAATTTATGTTGTGAAGAGTAGTCTAACTTCATCTGTTTTCAACATGGTTGTTCTTTCTATCTGAAAAGGATGTGTTCCAACACTTCCAGTAATCATATAGAACTTGGAATAATACTAAATACACACACACACACACATGCATGCACACACAATATATACAGCACAGTCGTGTATTTTTTTATTAATTTGAAAGTTGTGTTTGAGGTAAGTACACTAATATTTCAAAAATTAGTTGAACAAGTGCTTTGTGTGATATGGCCTAATTAATTTTTCTTCACCTTTCTCCCCCCCCCCACATTTTCAGGGTTTTCTACATTCTGTGCCCAGAGGAATTGATTCCATTTCTGAAGCTTTCTGAGAGATCAAAGTTCAGCATCATTAGTGAGTCTTAGCTACAGATGGTAGAGCACAGCATATGGAGAGAATTATTTTTCAATTCAAACAAGAATGATGTTCATGGATTGTAATCTCAATAAAACATACCTCTGTAATATGAAAGACTACCCAACATTTGTCAGCAAATCTGCAGAGACCTTGTAAAAACCCTTTAAACTGAACAGCTGGGACACTAGGTTGGCTGGAGGGAACCTTAACAATACTAAATATCTATTTACCTTCTGGACGATTCATGTGCTGCCACACAGAGCTGCTGCTGAAATACCATGTCTAAGAACTCGGAGTTCATCAATCTATCATTTTTATTAGATCATGAGAAGGAAATGATCCTGGGAGTCCTAAAGAGAGATGAATATTTGAAAAAAGTAGAAGACAAGAGAATAAGGTAATGCATGTTTATTGCTTTGCTCTTCTTTAACCACTTTCTACTTGTTTGCAACGATTTTCATAGGAAATTTGAAAGTGACATTAATATGACATTGATCATACTGATCAGAGACTTTATGACTTTCCAGAGGTAGCCCAAATATTTGAAAATATCTTTGTAACTGTGCCATTTAGCTAAAGAGGACGGAAATGAGCTAATAATAGGATGCTGATGATATGAGAGCAGTCATTTGCTAGTAGCAAATGTAGTGGCTAAGAAGAAGGATTCCCCACATTGGGGTCCCCACTCTGGAATGGCTTCTGTGATATTTGAGCAACTTGCTATGTTGTCAGTTATTTTTACATTGCTGTAAACTTACAAGCAATAAAAGGGGAAAGAGCTTAGCTTGGCTTATAGTTCAGAAGCTATCATTCACCATGGTGAAGAAAAGATGATGATTGGAGCATTTTTGTCCATGGTGGTAGGAATGTAGGTGGTACATTATCTCAGCAGCTCAGAAATCAGAAATCTAGAGTAGAAGCCGAGCTGCTGTATAATTCTCAACTTCCACCTGTGAGACCCTACATTTAACAGTTAAGCCTTATGCCTAGAAAGCTTCCAAAAACTCTCAGAGCAATGCCACCATCTGGGAAACACGTTTTCAAAGATATAAACCCATAGACTGACTCCATCCATTCTAACCTGATGAATCTAGAGTGTCCCCCAATGCTCCATGTGTTAAAGACATTGATCCAAGCTGGTACCACTGTTGGGAGGGAGTGGAACCTAGACGTTTTGAGTCATCAAAAGCATGAAACTGAAAGATATTATTGGACACTGGTTTCTTGCTTTTTGGCCATCATGAGGTGTCAGGCATGAGGTGGCTGACTACCAATGAGATATAGGCATCCTTTATTACATGCTCTTGTTGGTATATGTTATATTGCTACAATCTCCAAAAAACAGGACCAAGCAACCACTGCATGAAACCCCTTTGAGCTCAAACAAATCTTCAAATCTTTGTAATTTTATCATCTTGGGTATTTTTGTTCCACTAACAGAAATACTGGCTACCATTGCACCCAACTTCTCTGATTTAGATGTTACATCAATAAAACAGTAATGATGACATTATTCCTCATAGCACTGCTGTGGATTCACCTCCTCCCACAGCACCCTTCAACTGATTACATATTCTGGAACGTGGGGTGGCCTCACGAGCTCTCTCCTCTAGCAACTGTTAACTGTTAAATTCTCAGAGATGAGCAGTGTTTTGTGAACCCCTCCCCATCTCTATGACAGAAAATGAATGATGCCAATCTAGTTCAGGTCTACAATCGATGATAAAAGCTGTCTACAGCTTGTGAGTGAAACAGTGGCCATGCCATGCTTGGAAACATTCCCCAACAGATACTTCTGTGATAACTATAGATATTTTGATGACCTGTTGATAACACACCTATGGCCTTACCACTCCCCATCAAAACATTAGAACAGAACAGAAAACATTTCTTTAGCCTGGCATTTACTGACAGTTCTGACCTGTCAGCTGTATGCTATTATCTGAAGTTACTATGACTTTGATCAAACATTAAAAATAAACAACAAAAAAAAAACCTTTAAGTTGATCCTCTCTGTGTGAAGACTGAAAAACTAAACCACAAGTTTCTTGTTTTGTTCTTCCTGCCTAGTTCCACTGAAATGGGACACTAAGCAATCCTGACCTTAGTACATTAATAGTGCATACATCCCAGCCAAGAAACTGCCCTCCACCTTATAGTATTTTATTCTGAAAGAATGAAATTAAATTAAATTTTAGTACTGTGGTCAGAGAAAGAAGGAAGAAGATTAGGGAGAAGCAAATGAGGTAAACATTTGGTTCAAATGAATTTTGTGTGATTTCAGAATAATACATTCAATCTGGATGCCAAGTAGGCCCGTAAATGCAAAGAATAAAATTCCTTTTAATATTCTATAAATGTTTAATCTGCAAGGCTTTTCCCCTCTCCAACTCTTATCACTCTACCACCAAGCATGAAATTAGTTTGATCTTCTCAAAAGCTTGCTCACTGTCTCCACAGAAATATCAGAGACGTATTGGACTGGATTTGTAGATTGGTAAACATTTTATTTGAATCCTAATAAATTTTAATCCTAATAGTTTTTTTAATACATTGACAGAAATCCAAGCAAAAGGCTCAGAAGTTCAGAATGGGAAATGTTCGGATAGAGGACCTAAGTTCCACTTCCTGCACCCATATTGTGGGGGGGTTCTCAACTGCCAGTGACTCTAGCATCAGGTAGATCTAACATCTCTGACCTCCTTGGGCACCAACACTCACATGCACATATGCACACTAGACAAACACAGAAACCTAAATAAAAATACGAAATTCCACTGTGAATAGACTAGTTTAGTGGAACTCTAACTCTTAATGAGCTCCCACAGAATAATGAAAAAGTTCTCCTACCAGAAGCTTCTGTAAAGCAAAGGACACTGTGGTCAGAACAGAAGGACAGCCTACAGACTGAGAAAAGATCTTCACCAACCCTATATCTGACAGAAGACTAATATCTGGAATATATAAAGAACTCAAGAAGTTAAACAGCAACAAATCAAGTAATCCAATTAAAAAAATGGGGTACAGAGCTAAACAGAGAATTCTCAATAGAAGAATATCAAATGGCAGAGAAACAAAGAAATACTCAGTGTCCTATGTAATCAGGGAAATGTAAATCAAAACGACCCTGAGTTTTCACCTTATACCCATCAGAATGTCTATGATAAAAACTCAAGTGACAATACATGCTGGAGAGGATGCGGAATAAAGGGAACCCTCTTCCATTGCTGGTAGGAATGTAAACTTGCACAACCACTTTGGAAATCAATCAGGTGCTTTCTCAGACAATTAGGAATAGTGCTACCTCAAGATCCAACTATACCACTCCTAGGCATATATCCAAAAGATGCTCAAGTATACAACAAGGACATTTGCTCAACCATGTTCATAGCAGCTTTAGTTGTAACAACCAGAAGCTGGAAACAACCCAGATGCCCCTCAGCTGAGAATGGATACAGAAATTGTGGTACTTTTACACAATGGAATACTACTCAGCAATTAAAAACAAGGAAATCATGAATTTGCAGGCAAATGGTGGGATCTTGAAAAGATCATCCTGAGTAAGGTATCCCAAAAGCAGAAAGACACACATGGTATATGCTCACTTATAAGTGGATATTAGGTGTATAATATAGAATAAACATACTAAAATCTGTACACCTAAAGAAGCTAAGCAAGGAGGAGCCTGGGTAAGATGCTCAGTCCTCTTTCAGAAAGGCAAACGGGATGGACATTGGAAGAGGAAGAAAACAGGAAACAGGACAGGAGCCCACCACAGAGGGGCTCTGAAAGACTCTACCTAGGAGGGTATCAAAGCAGATGCTGAGATCTATAACCAAATTTTGGGCAGGGTGCAGGGAATCTTATTAAAGAAGGGGGAGATAGAAATACCTGGAGGGGACAGGAGCTCTATAAGGAGAGCAACAGAACCAAAAAATCTGGGCACAGGGGTCTTTTCTGAGAATGTTACTACAACCAAGACCATTCATGGAGATGACCTAGAACCCCTGCACAGATGTAGCCCATGTCAGCTCAGTCTCCAAGCAGGTTGTCTAGTAAGGGAACAGCACTGTCTCTGACATGAACTCAGTGGCCTGCTCTTTTATCACCTTCCCCTCAGGGGGTGCAGCCTTATCAGACCACAGAGGAAGACAATGGAGCCACTCCTGATGAGAATTAATAGACTAGGATCAGATAGAAGGGGAGAAGGACCTCCCCTATCAGTGGACTGGGGGAGGGGCATCAGTGGTGAAAAGGGAGAAAGGGTGGGATTGGGAGGGGAAAAGGGAGGGTACTACAGGTGGGATACAAAGTGAAGAAACTGCAATTAATAAAAAATAAAAAAACTTACTAATATTACTATATTTTAAATTATTATATTATATCAGAAATAAATTATTAATTGTATATTAAATTATGTATAACAGTATATATGTGTGTTTACATATATTGTGTCTAATTTCAGTTGGACTCCATGTTGAACTCCATATATGAACTATATATGTATGTATGCATATATATTAAATTTAATTTTACAGAATATTCCTCAAGAGATATTTGGAGACATGTCAGGCATTGAGCTGCTAAATGCACTTATGCACGCTTGAACTATTTGTTTGAAATATTGTCACTATAGTCATAAATAAGATTACTGCTTTTCTGTATCTATATGTGTATGTATTTGTGCATATCTCTCTGTAGAGATGTATAGGATACTATTTTACTTATAATTTAGATTATTATTTTAAAGTTATATACTAGATTATCTGTCTTTTCCATGTATGTGCATTTAATGTTCTCCCCCCCCCCCCGTTTTTTGGAGACAGGGTTTCTCTGTGTTGCCTTGGCTGTCCTTGACTTACTTTGTTGACCAGGCTGGCCTTGACCTCACAGAGATTTGCCTGCCTCTGCCTCTCTGAGTGCTGGGATTAACATCACCGTGTCTGTTGATTTTTTAATGTATTGTCTTTGAGGAGAATTGATGTTGAGGACAGATTTCTAGGTAGCAGAAAGTCTGTGCAGATAACCAAGACACTGCTATTCTCTTTTTCCTGTAAATTGTATAGATAGTATTATAAATTCCATGTTATCTAGAACATGGCTACTGAATGTTGGAGCTAAGTGTGGGCATTGAAAAATATTTGCTCCCCTTACCTCCAATAGTGGTCAGTTCATAAGAAAATATAAATCATTTGTATTATTGGGAAGGCGGACATTTTATTTCCATTAATAATATAAGTCATTTTTTTATTATTAAATGTCACATTTCATATTTTAAATTTCAAGTAAATAACCATTTGATATCAACAGGATCATCCATCTCATAGATTGGTTTTGGTTATTATTCAAGATGAACATCTTATCTTTCTGTTATAGAATCTACATTTGATTACCAAT